AGAGAGAGAGAGAGGTCAGAGTGGGAGAGAGAGAGAGAGAGGTCAGAGTGAGTGTGGAGAGAGAGAGAGGTCAGAGTGAGAGAGAGAGATAGAGAGAGGGAGAGAGAGCGAGAGACAGAGATTTCAGATTTGTTACACTAAAACATTTTAATAATAAATATAGCCAATAAAATAACATGGCCCTCTGGATTAGGGGTTCGACTACTCTCTAGCGGAAATCTAGGACAGGGTCGTACATAGCGGAATCGTACATTTAGCAGAGACTCTATCCGTCTATCCACCAGAGGGCTCAGGTATCTATCAAGAAGGCTATGGCTCAGGCCTCAGGGCCGTGGAAATAACTCAAAACTTTCTGCTTTTGTAACACGGGTGTTCTACTGTAACACGAGTGTTCTACTTTTGAACGTATTTACTATTCCGCCACAGGGCACCCGCTCACATGCCATAGCCCACAAAGATATATGTATGCGTGTATGAATATGAATATGTATCTGTATATGCATTGCATATATATATGCATAATATATATATATATATATAAATATATATATAACCACACTTTTCTCCAAAATGGAACTCACAGGTACGGCTGATTATCCAGGAAATCAATCGCGCACGTTAGAGAGGATTGATCATCGTAACCTCGTTTATTGTAAAGCGGGAAAGGTGTTGTTGCTTCTAAAGTTAAGGTCAAGCAATGTAAGATAGTGCGATTTGACGTAGCGGTGCTGTTTACCTCCTGCTTCTGCTTAAAGCGTGCAGTAGGCCCTATACGCTGTCATTTTCTCCGTTGCAGAGAGTGTTAGTGGCATACCCGCAGCTAAGAATAATGTAGTGCCTGCGGATGAATGTAGGTAAAAAGAGGTTGTTGGATCCATAGGAACATTCCCATTCGTGAAGATTCGCTATCAGAATAGTGAATGCATGTTAAGCACGTACCAACTCGACAAATATGAAGCACGAACGAAGTGATGTGTCCCCGTAATTGAATACATCTATGTAAAGCCAGTACTATGTGTACCGATTGCTACATGCTTAATGGCTTGCTGTTGACAGTATTTCTACTATGGATAGCAGCACTTATCGATCTTATTTCAAATACCCATTGACAGGAGGAGAAAGGGGTGTTCGGAAGGGCGTTGGTCGCATGTTCAGACAATATAGCAGAAAACTACTCAAATATACCGGTAGTCAGATGCGTAACAATCAACAAGTGCGTAAGAGGCACATAAAAAAACTAGAAGTGCGCAATCTGAACGACATAGCTTGTGTGAGAGTCATAAATGAAATGATGTGTACAAGATACGAATGTACATATATATATATATATATATACACTACATATATCGGCACATGTATACCTACCTGGTGTGATGTTGATGTCTCCTGTACTGCCTGCCCCCGTAGTAACTAGTATTAGACTTGGTCCATCCACCACTGGCAGGTCATACGAACTCCCAGCATTCACATCCACCTTGGCCAGTGTGAACTCCTCGATTGGTGGATCGAATATGCGATAGTTCTGTGTAACCAATGGGGACACAGTGTGTGAGACGACGTGCGGTTATATTTGACACTGAGGATTACATGGTAGCAATGCAGAATTGCATAGCAACCAGCCACAATTGCATGAGAGTGACGCTGCCTGGTCCTACACGCTCAGGGCTGGTATCAGTTCTACGTTTGGAATATGACTAAGTCGCCTCACAAGGGCATGTTTATGTGCGTGTTAATTCATAGGTAGTTGTCACTGTGTACTTTGTACGGTAAGTGTAGGCCATTCGATTGTACTATAGAAAATACAATGTACAGAACTGTTCGTTACATTACGGCAATATCAATGCACACTGAGTGTTTCATATGCCAAGTGTAGGCCATTCGATTGCACTATAGAACATATAATGTACAGAACTGCTCAATACATTACGCCAATATCAATGCACACCGAGTGTTCCATACGCCAAATGTAGGCCATTCGATTGCACTATAGAACATACAATGTACAGAACTGCTCATTACAGTACGCCAATATCAATGCACACTGAGTGTTTCATACGCCAAGTGTAGGCCATTCGATTGCACTATAGAACATACAATGCACAGAACAGTTCAATACATTACGCCAATATCGAGTAGCCATACTAAGCGGATTGGCAGCCCCGCACAGTTGAATGATCCTTTCCATACATCACGTGAAAAACAAGGATTCATAAACAGACACACTTCCATCGCACACTCACTGCAGTATCAATCCGAAAGACTCTATTACATGCATGGCACACCAGTCAACAGGATCAACCAACATACACCGTTGACTGTGGTGCCAGCCAAGACCTTGCTCTGTCCCGGGCCGTAGGTGTATGTCAACATCTCCGTCAGTGTACTGACGTCCTTGAACTTTGGGGTCAGCCCAGCTCGCACCACATTGTCACTACAGGCCATGCACTCAATGCAGTCTGTTGGTGACGGAGGCAAAACGTTATTTAAATGCAGGGGTATGAATAAGCAAAAGAGTATGAACACAAATAAACGGACTTCTAAAGAAGTATATACATAGGAACACACATGTTCAACATCACATATACATCGTTTTTGAAGCATAAAGGCCCAATCAGGCGCTGCATGTTGTTGCAGCATATGTTTGCTACAGAGCCAAGAATTATGGTACCTACGATCGTCCCATTGACGTTGAATATGGATCAGCCCAACACAGTGTGGCTCCTGAGCCCATTCACGGTGTCACAGAACTCATTTGAAATTGCACACACCTCACAATCATACAAATCGAACAGCCACACAGCTTCGTGAACACACTTCAATAGCATACCAGCACACAGGAACAAATGCGAAAGGGATGGCCAATTTCACTGAAACACTACTAGCATGGATGTGCGATATGAAGGACGCTAACAGATACAACGGGACCAGCCTAATTAATAGACACTTAATGTTAGCCAGTTGTGGGAGTGGTTCGTTTGTAGACACAAAACATCAACAGTCTGTGATTACTTACCGCCGGTGAGGTACGCGTGTGGTTCGTTCGCAGCCATAAACATCGACTCGCCCGGACCCAGTTGGACATAGTTCAGGAAGTACAGCGAGAACAGTCCGATGTCATTGGGGAAGTCTTGGTTGACCGTGAGAATGAGGTCCTCCACTCTATCACGTGACTGCATGTGTTATAAACAGAGGGAGAAGATGATGCCTATGAAAACTCTCTCACGAGACTGCATGTGTTATGAACGGAGGGAGAAGATGATGCCTATGAAACTCTCTCATGTGACTGCATGTGTATGAACGGAGAAAGAAGATGATGCCTTTGAAAACTCTCTCACGTGACTGCATGTGTTATGAACGGAGAGAGAAGATGATGCCTATGAAAACTCTATCACGTGACTGCATGTGTTATGAACGGAGGAAGAAGATGATGCCTATGAAAACTCTCTCACATGACTGCATGTGTTATGAACGGAGGGAGAAGATGATGCCTATGAAAACTCTCTCACGTTACTGCATGTGTTATGAACGGAGAGAGAAGATGATGCTTATGAACTCAGGGTCGATCATTTCAATCACACTGCGAGACCGTCGCCCACCAAGGCGCCATGGGAATGGGTTCTGCGGTGCGCACTTTCAAATAGTGTACGGAGTTATTTGTAGACGTTCAGAGCGTATCATTTCTAGACATTGCAGCGCAAACTTGGCAGGAACATACACAGCGTTAAGTAGATTCACACATCCACAATGTATATAAAACCAGCGGCATGTACTCCTACTTAACAGACAACATACCGTTTTGGCTTCTAATCGTGGGATTAACTTGGCCAAGGCGTCGGTTACGGCACTATCCGAAGCCTCCATTAATTGTATGTAACATGCTTTGAGGGCTTCTTGCTGTTGTGTGAGATTTTTAGACACTCCCGCTACAGTTAGTGAGAGTCACAACAAGGAAGAAAGGTGAGGCACAGAGCGATTGTATATCGGTTACGGACTTATTGTCAATACGGGTTTCAGCGGATTTCAAGCACCAGGCACACGTGTATGTATTTAGGCAAATACACACACACACACACACACACACATATATGTATATATGTATATCTCTGTATACATATATCACAATGTATTATAAAATAACAATAACAATAATTATAATAATAATAAAAACAGAGAGAGAGAGATATATATATATAGATTTTAATGTATAGGGAATACAAATAAGAAACGTCAACCAGATAATACACACCCTCAACGGCATTCGCAGGATCCGCATCCACAGCTTCTTTCAGCTTCGCGGATTGTTCTTCACCAACTATAGCACGGAGCTCGGGCACATTCGCCAAAACATCTACAATCTCAGTCAACGGCCGGAAACCCATCAGACCTGAGTGAAGAAAGCCGTCGCGTTTAGCTCAAAGTGGTGAACAGAACCGAAGCGATAAGTACCGATGTATGGTGCTGCTGTAGGTTGAATTTCAATATGGTACAGATATGAAACTCAAACAGCAGTGTGTTTGTCTGAACATGGATACTAGACAAGAGGTGCTCGTGATAGCAGAGTCCAGAGATGCGTCATACAGCCGATATCGGGTACATGCACATACCACCGCTTTGAAGTTTTCAAGAACGGACGGGGTAATACAAACTGAAACTAGTTGACGTGTGCACATTACCTGCGAATTCGGTCAGCGCTATGCACATTTCAGGTTTGTGATTGGAGTCGGGATAATTGTCAGGATTATTTTTCCTGAGTATAGCTCCGAGTTCTTTGTTGGGGTGAGCCTGGGTGACGAAAACAAGGGGCGTGTGCGTGAGTACCCAGCGAGGGATGTGACGAGAGGACGTGCACTGTGGAAAGAGGGCCGATGAACTGTATGCACACTTAGCCTACGGAGGAAGAACACATACAGTGTACAGGGATTGGTTGTGTGGAAGAGCCTGACAGGCTGTAAACCTTTCGGAGCGCGGAGCGAGTGGCAATGCGCACGCACAAGAATTGGTAGGGTGAAGGAGCAAGTACAGTACCTATGTCGGATGGGACGATTGTGACGAACACTGTCGTTGCAAACATTGAATCTACGCTATGAGAGCTCTTTCCCAATACTATGCGAGAATGCCATGGCCAGAATTAATTCATCCAGCGTTTAAGCTATGGGAGTGAACATAGCGAGAACCTATGCGAATAACAACAGAGATAACACACCTGTATGGACAGAGCTTTCTGGATTGACAGTACTTTGAACAGGTAGGGCAGATCGCCATACTTTTCCGCAATCGAGTACGACAGAGCCCACTGCATTCGTATCCAGAAAAACAGCAACTCAGTCTTGGAACGGGTAATGATCAGATTTGTATCTAAAAGTACACCATTAAACACGGACACGGACATATATATATATACATATATACACATACACACACACACACACACACACACAATGTTTGTATAGACACAGACAGACACAGACACAGACACAGACACACACATATATACACACACACACACACACACACACACACATATATATAAATCAATCTTTATGCATATGCATTTGAAAAAATACATGAATACATACATACATGCGAATCGAATGTATACTCGCTATTCTATACGACATCCCTTTCAGATAGACAAATATACTATTTCCATGTGCATATGCAATCATCTGTCGTGGGTATGTAGGCTACAGAGCGTAGTACAACGGGAGCCACTCTCGCAGTAGAAGTATAACAGTACGTATACCTCACCTACGATGCGATAGAAGAGATACACCTCAAATACATCACTGCCATAAGACCCCACAATCAACATGCATCTCGAGCGACAAACACACAAGCTATTTATATGTCGTTCGAAACACTAGCTCGTGAGCCAATGTACCTCCACTCAGTTGCAACATGACTTGAAAGCAATGTTGCATTGCTACGTGGTTGTTATGGCCTATGTAAGTCTATAAACTTAAATAGTGCTGTGATCAGGGGCATGTTACAATAGTTATGTATTGAGGCATGTGGCAATGGGTTATATCGTACCATGGGTTTATATCGTACCTTGTATGTGATCAGGATGTTACAATAGTTCTGTATAGAGGCATGTTACAATAGGTTGATATCGTACCCTGTAATAACGTCTGTGATCAGGGGCATGCTACAAGAGTTCTGTATAGGGGCACGTTGCAATAGGTTTACATCGTACCTTGTTTTCCGCCAGCCACTCGTTGAGCTTCTGACCAGTGCCTTTGATGGTTGCCGGGCCCTTCGGGTGAGTACCCATCCAGAGCTGAATGGCAAGCGTGACAAAAGATTCACATAACGACATGTGTAAGCGTGACATAAGATTCATATAATAACATGCGTAAGCGTGACATAAGATTCATATAACAACATGTGTAAGCGTGACGTAAGATTCATATAACAACATGTGTAAGCGTGACATAAGATTCATATAACAACATGTGTAAGCGTGACATAAGATTCATATAACAACATGTGTATTGTGTAGATCTACTGGTGCGTTTGTTTATTCGTGATATAATAAAGTGTTCAAATGTAACAAAAATAAATGCTATGGCAGTGTCGTCTGCCCACTTCGTTTGCTACGCGCATTAGATGTCGCAAATGTAAATTGAGACGGGTTGTGCCTTAGACACAGTGGGATGTGTCTTCGCAGGGGCACTTCAAAGCCAGAAGAATGGATCGCACATGAGGCAGCTACAGTGCACAAACACACTTTCTGCCATTGCACACAAGAACAACATGCCAGGCTAAGACAAGACTTCCGTTCGGAAGCTTCACACCAAGATCAGATACGCTCGGAAGTAGAGTTACGGATAGGCTTTCAACAGCCGCTTACTAATACAAAGAAACAAGTGGTAAGAAATACAGTATTGTCACATGCCGTGGCAATGGAGTAAGTGAGGACTACAAGCTGGCGGATGACAATGAGTCATTTAAGTATCAATCATGAATGCCAACATATTGCAAAATGGACGCACTAAGAGAGGTCTAACCTAAGGATAAACACTAGTTCTAACCACATCTACACCCTCGGAATATAACACACATGCCTACAGTAGAAAATCACTTACCTCAGCGTAAGGATCTGTTTAGAGACAGGTCTAGCTCAAGGATAAACACTAGTGCTAACCACATCTACACCCTCGGAATATAACACACGTGCCTACAGTAGAAAATCACTTACCTCAGCGTAAGTATTAGTTTAGAGAGAGGTCTAGCTTAAGAATACACACTAGTGCTAACCACATCTACACCCTCGGAATATAACACACGTGCCTACAGTAGAAAATCACATACCTCAGCGTAAGAATCAGTTTCGTTGGTTGTGATGCCATCATAAGCGCCCGCTAATTGTGCAACCTTACTCGAGCTTCCGACTTTCCCCCAGGCATAGCCCTGTACGCAGCAGTTGAGATCCAGAACTGAAATTGGAAGTACGCCATACTTTGGTTAAACTGTGTACAAATGCTTATATGTTTATGTGCATATATATATATATACAGATATATGCATATATATATATATATATATATATATACACACACACACACACATATATATATA